GTCGAAAATTTCATAAGGGAGTAAGAGGTCGATTTTTCCAAAAAATTCAAGTTCCTCAAAATACCTCGAGTGATACCTCATTTTCATCGGAAAGAAACAAGGAATGCAACGAGCTAATTAAAAGACACCGGGGCCTTTTCAGTTCCCAAATAATCAACATTTTCTGTATATTTTGAACGGTTTTTGAGCGGTCGCAATCTTCAACGGCCGATATCTTCCTTACTTTCGACCCACAACTTTCATGTTCGCCATTGGGCAACTTCTTAGCCCGGAAACATTGCAATAAGGGCAAAAAACGCGATTGCAAAATTTTGATTTTTGGTCGAAAATTTCATAAGGGTCGATTTTTCCAAAAAAATCAAGTTCCTCAATATACCTCGACTGCTACCTCATTTTCATCGGAAAGAGACAAGGAATGCAACGAGCTAATTAACTAGTACAGGGCAAACGTTTTGAGGTTTTGATGTAAATTTGAGCTGATTAATATGAGATTGATGATTTCATCAGAACAGTGAGCGTTCAGGCAAACCAGCTCTGAACATGCAACCCACTCGTGCTTGCGAAATGTCAGGAAGAAATTCTATTGTACGACGGCCTAAAAACCCGAAAAACCCACCTCAATACCCACTGCTCCGGTTAACTTTAGTGATAATAAAATATATTTAATAATATCATTTGTTGACGGGTGGACGAAGTGTTTCAATTGAGAACCTTAAATCTTGTGTAGATTTGTCGGGCGGTCCATTAGACGGTACGTATGTGCTGGAGCAGTTCCACTGCCATTGGGGCCAAACCAATGAAGAAGGATCTGAGCACACAGTGAACGGGGAAAAATATGCTGGAGAAGTGAGTCCTTCCATGCTCAATCAAACCGGCCAACTCACTGTTGTTCTTTCCAGCTGCATCTGGTGCATTGGAATTCCTCCAAATACTCATCCTTTGCTGAAGCTGCCAAATACCCGGACGGCCTGGCGGTCTTGGGAGTGTTCCTCAAGGTAATTGCCCCAAAAATCCCTATTGTCCCAGTGCTAATTGGCACGTTGTGGCTCCGGCAGGTCGGCAGGAAGCACTTGGAGCTGGATAAAATCGTTTGCCAGCTGAACAAAGTGCAATTTAGAGGCGAGCATGCAAAAATTCTGGTCCCCCTGGACCCAGGGGCTCTGCTGCCGGAAAACAGCGGTTACTACACCTATTCGGGGTCTTTGACCACGCCCCCATGTTCCGAATGTGTGGTCTGGATTGTTTTCAAAGACCCGGTGGAAATATCCCAGGAGCAGGTAGGGAACTAGGGAAAAACCTTAATTAACCAACTAATTCGCTGTGTTTCAGTTGGACACATTTAGAGCTCTGAGGTGCTACAGTAGCGAAGACCTTTGCCCATGCGATGAGTACAAGGGCTTTGTGAAGAGCAACTTCAGACCCACGCTGCCTCTGGGACAGAGGGAGGTGAAGGAGTGTAGGCAATAACAGAAGGCGTTGCATACAACCATGATCTTGTAGTTTTGCTTGTCACATAGATGAATTTAGTACCTACATTTCATTATGTCTGAGTTATTCGCAATTCGTAGTCCGGGGTTTTCCGACTGGAAAATCTGGATGTACTGAAATTCTCAACTGTGGTGGATGAAGCCAAATATTTTTACGCACTTTTTCCTGAAAAAAGTTTTGCGGGGTTTTACGCATGCCAACAGATAAGGGTGGTTTATTGCAAAAGGATGGGGGACTTCAGGAGGGTTGACCAACATGCCTCCAAATGGGAGACGCTTGGTGAAGTCTTTGTAATAAACAGTACTTAGCCCAGGCAATGTTTTCTTCTCCCTACCCAGTAATGGCTGAAGAAGAACTCCCTGAGTGAACTTTGCTATTGAACCTAATGGAGGACTTTCCCTCTACATCTACAGTATTTACAGTTATGTACACTTTGGACATTTTGGGAACACTTGTTTTTACGATAACAGATAAGATTTGACAAGACAAAGCGTTATTAGGGAAATTTCGGCTGATTTCGGTTAGAAAGGTAGCTTAACAGCCACAGCAATCAGCTGCGGTTGCTTCAGAAACTGCCTGGAAAGGGAGGTTTTCTGAAATTCCAAACCCTGGCACCCTTAATAATATTAATCTGCGCAAACAGTTTAATTTATTTACTATTTACGCGGACTATCAGTACATTTGCGTGTTCAGTGGGCGTATATTTGAAGCGAATTCACGCAGACCCTTTCCATGTTATGTAAAAGTTTATGGGCGATTGGTTGAATCGAGCCCCAACTACAATCAATGGGTGATTAATCGGGTTATACTGCTGTCCAATAGGAAAGATTGATTTTGCCTTTTGCTTTTCTAAGGCGTTGCTCTTTTGTAAGGCGTATGGAAAGTTCTAAAACACACACTTAACACCTGAAAAAATAGTGATGGGCTTTTCTTAGGTGTTAAAATAAAGTTCTTAGATTCTGAACGCAAAATATTGAAAGGTTTTGGTCTGGAAGGGGGCAAATAGATGTAAGTTAATGGATACAATTGGCAAGCGAACCAATGAGTAAATGTGCATTTGCCCACAGAATCGCAATTTCTTTTTTTTTTAACAATTTTAGGTCTTTGCTGACCTAAAGTAATGTAATGCTTACCAATTATGAGTTTTTTTGAATTTTAAATGTGATGATGGTGCTGTTGTCTTGCACACTTTGCCTGAAACCCAGGAAGGAAAACAATATAATTTCAAAAATAATGTTTATTTTCGAGACTTTTAGGGCTCATCAGAAGAGAACACCCCTTTATTTCGCTACATCTGAAGCCGGAGACTGAAACTGAAAACAAAACTCTCGAAACCTGCACTTTATTTCGCCCACAAAACAAGGCTTCGGGAGTGTTTGAAGTTTTACACATTTCCAAATTTTGCTCTACTTTTGCCTCAATTTTATGCATTTAGTGGTCTCCTATTTAAAGTGAGACTGTCTGTCCTATTCCATCCAGTTCAAGTCGACTTATTTGCTCTTTAGTGGAAAATTGGGGATATGAACCCTTCAATTCCCAATGCGCCGGATAACTTTATTAATAAAAAAATATATTTAAGAATGAAACATCTGTTGAACCTCATTCACTGTGAATTATTCGATCTCAATCTTCTTGCTACCTGTGATGTTCTGGATCTGCTTGCTCGTGAAGCTGACGACGATTTTCCTTTGGCCGATTTTCCGCGCTGTAAACTCATGGCTGAAATTGACGGTTTCTTGCGGTTCCACATTGCGGAAGTTGACGAGTTTCGGTTTTTGCAGCCCTGGACCCTCGATGGTGTAAACGCAGTCAGTGAGCGCGATATCCAATGGGTTTTTGAACCTATTTGAGACGCACATGTAGATCTTTAGCCTGCATACTTTACAAAGTTGATGGGTTTACCCGAATTGAAATTCGCAGGGCTCTAGCACTTTGCAAGAGCCGGGCATAGTGAAATTGAGAGCAGGCAAAGTCATGGTGAAATCATCTTCTTCGCTCCATGTTTGCTTGGTTTCTTCCACGCTGGCAATGGCGTAGATCTTGATCAAGCCATGATCGACCAACTTGTCCAAGTACTCATCGGGAGTGACTTTGATTTGCAGCGTGTCCTTTTTGCCAGCGTCAATCTGCAATGAGCATATGAGGAAACTGGAAAAAACTCAAAGGAAAAACTACCTTAAATTTGCCCTGGGATCTCTTAATGTCCCCAGCGGCTGCGCCAGTATAGAGCACAGCTCCAGCGGTTAAAACCGCACTAATCGTGCGCTCTTGGGACGATTTATTCTCGATTTCCACCACAACATCAAAGCTCTGGCCCAAAGGCACAGTATCGATATCAATCAGGTCGAAAATCACATCGTTCTTATCATCCGAAGGGATTTCGTAGAATTGTTGGGCCTTGGGGATGCCACGAACAGCATTGTAGACTGCTAAGCGCTCAGCTGGAGTATTTTCCGGGTTTTTATAGAAGTCTGTGATGTCCCATAGGTCCGAATCAGCGTCGCTGTCGAAGACACCGATGCGTTTTGTGAGTATTTTTCTGCCAACGCTACAAATAACGGTTTAGGTTACGATAGGTTCGAGAAACGTATCTGGGAAAATTGCAATCGGTTAAGGTCGAGACGACGATTTTCCCAACAAAATACTTTTTTTCATCTTTTTATACTTTACATACTTTTCAGATCCGAACTAATTATAACTGATGTAAAATTTAAGACATTTTGAGTAAATTTTCATTTTTTCAAAAAATCGACGCCACCCTAGGAAAAATTTCGGCCAAAAATCAAAATTTCACATGCGTGTTTTTTGAGCTCAATCGATTCCTTTCGACGTAAGAAGGTCGCAAATATGCATTTTAAGTGCATATAGATGCATGCATTTTATATGCATTTAGAGTGCTTGGGTCAATAATAAGGAAGAAATCATCGGCTAAGGATCGTGATTTCTCAAAAAACGCTTAAAATGTGCCGAAAATGTATATTATTTCAGATCTGAAACTTCTAGCATGTTTTTCAATGAGCTCGATGCATTCCTCACGTCGGTGAGATGAAAATGATATAAAATTGAAGACATTTTGAGAAAATTTTCATTTTTCAAAAAAATCGACCTCCACCCTTGAGAAAGTGGCAAAAAATATTAATAAACCCCAAAGGAAAGTACATTTATTTTCGGCAATATCGAAAATTGGTATTAAAATAGTCGATCAGTACTGAAAACTACGTGCAAATATGCAATAAAATCCAACTACTTTACTTTTTTTGCAAACTTTCCTCAAATGAGCTGCCGATGCCGAACAATTATATTTTTTGTTTATTGCAAACGTGACACTTTTCCGTTTCGCACAGCAACCAATAAGCAAATTTTCACGCAACGAAATTTGCACGTAACTACACTTAGAGTATTGCATGATTATTGCGGGTGAAAATAGGAAAATGCATTTAAAATTGCATGGAGTTGCACATTTATCGTAATTTGCAGTTCAATCAACGTTTTCTAAAACCTGTTTTCGATACTGATTCATACTCGCGAGCAAAGTTCATATTTTTGGACTTTATAAAGCAGTTTTCTCCGTACAATTAATAATAAAATATTACACAGTCGAGCTCATTCCTTGAAACTGGTGCTTGCACTGCACATAGACTTTCGAGCCAACCACTGAAGATACTGAACCTCTGGAAGACTTTCAAGAATAAAAAGTTTCCCGTATCCACCTTAAGTGGACACACG